GGGCAGCCACCTCTGGCCCCAGCCGGGTGCCGTTCAGGTCCTCCCTCCCCAAACACACGCTTCCTCAGGTTGGGAGCCCAGTCCTGGCCAGCCCCAACAGCTCACCTCCGAGCCAGCCCTGCCCCTTGTCTGAGTTCTCAGGATCAGCCTCCAATTTCCATTTAAATTGAGATTTTTAGTGCTCCTTTTCCCCTAATCCCTGTGAATCCAGGCTTAGTGAGCGGTTTCAGACACTTGAGTTGTGCCTGATGGGTCCTAGATACATCTCTCTAGTTAATGATCTCCCTCTTCACGTACCCGGGCACCTAACGAGATAATTTGGGGGCTCAGGTACCTCCACAGCAGCTGCCACAGCAGCAGAGGGGCACTCAGAGCCCTAAAGATGCCAGTTTGTTGCTCCACAATCCAGCTTACACCGAATTGAGCTCCGATTTACTCGTTTCGTTCTTACCTCGACTGCTCAGCGCCGACAGCCACGCTCCCCCCCGACAGCCCACAAGAAACCCACCTGCCTTCGCAACCTGGCTGGGGGGGGGGAGCCAGCGCTGCTGCCCCCCCCCGTTCACCCACAGCAAAACCAGAGCTCCAGCAACTGGCTTAGCTGGGATCTCAAGGCAGGAACAGAGCTAGCGACAGCACGCACCGCTCCCGACGCATAGTCCCTGCTCCGAGATCAGCCCCAGGTAGGAATTCATTTCACCCACCTCTGAAATCAGGGCAGGGTGTAGCTGCACGGCTTTAGGGTGGGAGGGGGACGACGCTTCCTGGTGGAACTGCAGAGGGGTCTTGTGTGGGAAACCCACGGCAGGGAAAAAAAGCAGCCCGTTCGGAAGGCGGATAAACGGGGTGGATTTTTGCCAAAGCAAGCCCGAGTCACAGCAGCTTGGAGCTGTTGTCCGCTTCCCCGGCCGACCACAGAAGTGTCTGTCGTGTGCAGAGGCTTGTCCCACAACCTGGAAGGTTTTGGGTTCGCTCATTGTCACCGCCTCGACTCCTCTGATGCCGATGCCAGGAAGGTATCGGGCACCCGTGCGGCCGGCCAGGCCACAAGTCACGGGTAGGAGGTCCAGCTGGAGGGAGCTGGGGGTGTTGGTAGAGGAGAACCTCAGCGCTTCGGAGCTGGGGACTGTGCAGTGTTCCCCAGCAGAAGTTAAATGCAGACAATAACTGGACCAAAAAAAAAAAAAAAGGATCCCATCACCCTCTCCGTTGTCCTCCTTTTGCAGGTTCACCCTGCCACCCACCCTAGGTAACGGTGGCACATCCAGCTGCTTGCTTTTCTCTGATCTCGTTACAAACAGTCACGGATCAAGGCCCAGAACTTTGCCACAAGATGAGCATCAGTAAACTCTCAGGCCAGGCCGGCGCTGCTCTGAGAAGAGCCGGGTGTTCTGACTCCTTCCCGCCACCAAGCCGGGAGTCCCAAAGTAAAGCACACCACAACGTGCTGCAGCACCTGCTTTTGTGGGGGAAATTATTACCTATCCTGCAGCAACGTTCAAACGACATCAGTGGCGTTGGGCCTCCGAGAAACACGCCAGATGATCGTCCCCATCTCAGCCCAACAACTCCTTCTCCAAGTTTAGGCTGTACCGCCCTCCCGGAGCTGAAAAGCCCCGGGACCATCCCAGATTTGAGAGCTAGCCACCGCTGCCACGGGGGGGGAGAGGGTTATACATGAAGTTGAGTCTTATCAGCGCTTCCCTAGAAAAATCCAAGCGTCGACCTTGGAGGTACGGTGAGCTCTGCTCCCCTCCCACGCTGATGATGCTGTAACTCGACTATAATCGGGCTCTATTGAATAATTACCGTTACTCTGTAATTATCACTTTCTGATTTTTCTCTTTGTTAACATTTGCTGGGGAGGGGGAGAGGATTTTCTGCTGTGCCAGGGAGATAAAGATGTCTCGGATGCAAGACGACGTGGATGTGGCGCTTGCTGCTGCGGTGTTTAACCAGGCACCGATCAAAACACCTTTCTAGAGTCAACCGTGTCACCGCCGGCAGCGAAACGCTGGGGGCTGTTCACTTGCTGTTTCTACCCCCAGCTAACCAGACACACGCGCAGAGGAGAGGCTAATTAAAGAGTAGAGGTGAGCAAGGAGTGCTTCTTAAGAACCATTATTATTGAAATGAGACAGCAAGGGAGGCAGCGTGGAAGGATCCTTAATGAAATGGGGGAGGAAGGGAATTAGAGGGAGAACAAAGTAAAAGGGGGAAGAAACAGTCTAGGAAAAGGAGGAGGACCTGACTGATGGAAGATGTGGCGGAGGCACAGAAACCGAAACAGCAACGTTTTTGCTGTAACCTCTGATTTTTCTCCCCTACCCTCAGAGCCTGAGGAGCTCAGACACTCTCCTTCCCAAAGGCTCCAAGCAAACGGTCCAACACCCTGGGGCTAAAACACAGTTTAAGCTCATCCTAGACTGCCCTCAGCTGTGCAAGTCCCGGCTTAGAGAGGCTGGCTCTTGCTCCAGGGGCCAGAGCAGACCTTTAGCTTGCAGAATCCTTCCCCGCAACGTGCTCCAGACAAGCTGCTACCAAGAGCAGCCTCCGGGCCCCAGGAGAGCGGCTGCGTACCTGCCCAGACCTGCAGGATGACTTGCCTGAGCAACAGAGACACAGTCAGAGGTCAGCCCCAGCAAGGCATTACCTCCGTCCTGCCCAGCCCACCAGAAAGGGTGCTTTCCCCAGCTAAAGGCTGCTACGCAGCACAGCACCATCCCGCCGAGCACGAGGCAGGATTATCTAGTTCTGCCCGCAGCGCTTGTCACCAAGTGAGCAGTTGGGCCCATTTAGCAGCCTTGGGCTGTCGGTCTTTTGGCCAGGGGGCTGTGGCAAACCCAGCCCCTCTCCCCACAAGCACAGCTGCGTTTTTACTTCACGGACTACGGAGGAGAGGCTCAGCAGGGCACAGGAGTCTCTGCTGTCCCAGCTGAAGTCACAAGGAAAGCGGCATTCGAGCCCTTGCATTTTTGTCTTCTGCAGAAAGCCTTTTGCCATGGGTCAGCTAGAGGGAGCAGCGGCGCAGATCTCTACCGCCCACCTGGGCTGGATCTGAAACGCGAGTTACAAAACCACGGATCAGATCCCCCCTCGAGCCATCTGGACAATCGCTCCGGCTATTCCACACTTCGGAACGCAAACAGACAGCGAGTACAATATCCACGTTATCCTCTGGCTCCTCAGAAAACAGGCAATGCAGTAGTGCCCCTGCTTCCCTCTCTACTCAAAACCACCCCACCACCCTGCTCCCAACCCCGTCTCCATCGAGCACGCTGCTGGTGAAAGGGGTAATCTTCTCCAGCGAGACAGGCATTTCACACTCCACGTTCATCACCGCAGGGCAGGGGTTGCGAGAGGGCTCGGAGACCTGAGAAACCTTCTCGAGGGACGCCTCGACGCTTTCCGTCTGCAGAGCAGCATGGGGGAGAAGCTGGGGGTAGCTGAGGGTCACCGCTTCCTTCTGATACGTGGTGTCACGGTGGTAGGAGACCAGCTCGTTGCTGAAGTTCACCGTTTCCACTGCGTTGCTGGGGCAAAGGCAGCCGCGGCCCAAGATGGTCGCAAAAGCTCTCCGGAAGTCTGCGTTGAAGGCGTAGATGATAGGATTGAGGGAAGAGTTGGCCCACCCGAACCAGACGAAGATGTCGAAGACTGTCTCGCTGACGCAAGGTAGCTCTCCCGCCTCACGTAGGTCAAGATTACAGAAGGGCACCACACAGTTGAGCACGAAGAAGGGCAGCCAGCAGAAGACAAAGACGCCCATGATGATGGAAAGGGTCTTGAGGACCTTGGTCTCCTTCTTCAAGGAGTTCTTCAGGGAGGCCTCGTGAGGGCAGTCGCTGCCGTGGCAGTTTTGGGCGTGTTCCACCGCCCTCTCCAGGGAGGAGATCCTGCGGATCTGCCGCTGGGCGATGCGGAAGATGCGGGTGTACGTCACGATCATGATGGCAACAGGGATGTAGAAGCTAAGGAGAGAAGAGGAGATGGCGTAAGTCCTGTTGAGGCTGGAATCACAGTTCTCCTCCTCCCCGGTGATGTTAAAGCCTGGCTCCTGTTGGCTCAAGAGCTCACGATCCTTGTGCCACTTCAGCTGCACAGGGATGAAGGAAATCAAGAGGGAGAGCAGCCAAGCCACTCCGATCATGAGCAAAGCCACGCGCTGCGTCATCTTCCTCTCATAGCGGAAGGGGTTGGAAATGGCCCAGTAACGGTCCACGCTGATGATGCACAAGTTGAGGATGGAGGCTGTGGAGCACATGATGTCAAAAGCCACCCAAACATCACAGAACGACCCAAACGGCCAGAACCCCACCACCTCGGTGGCAGCCTTCCAGGGCATCACCAGCACAGCCACAAAGAGGTCGGACACCGCCAAGGAGATAACGAAGAAATTGGTGACCTTGGAGCGCAAGTGTCTGAACTTGACCACAGCCACACACACCAGGGTGTTGCCCAGGAGCGTGGAGAGGATGAGAAGGACGAGTAAGGCAGCTGCCACCACACGGAAGGACAACTCGGAGCTGCCTTCCTCTGCCCAGCTCTTCCGCCTGCTGGTGTCATTGATCACATCCTGCCCATCTCCTCCTGCGGAGGAGGGAACACCATCCATCGGCTCCCCTTTGCTCCAGTCCCTCGAGATGTTTCGCGGCTGTTCAAGTCCCCATCAGCATCCAAACCCCCTTTTTACTGCTCCGCTGACATCTCAGAAGCCCCAACTGCAACGCTCCCACTCCCAGCAGAAGGAAAAGCGCCTGAAGCTCTCCCTCCTTTCCAAGTCTCGTGCTGACAGCGTGGCGTTCGGGTTTTTTCCCCCCCTCTTGCCTCCCAGCCCACTTTTCTTGCTTTGCAGCCTGCTGCTCACAAAGAGCCAGCACTCACCTCCGGCACTCGAGCGAGCTGGGAGGGCTTTTGCTGCGAGCCTTCCTCCCTCTCCTCTCTCAGCAGCTCTTCATCTGTTGGTGGATCTGGTGCCTGCTACAGAATCCCAGCCGAGCCCTTCTGCACTGGCCAGGCTGGGACTTGGTGCTGGACGCAAGAGGGAATCCGAGCTCTCTCTGCTCTTGCAGATGGACCTTCTCCGCTCCTAACACAGGCTGCTCTGCTGGCTGCTCTTCCCTCTGTTGCTAATTGCCTCTGGATTTCACATAGGTGAGATCCGTCTCTGCCCGCACCCCAGGTCCCCTCCTCACCAGGTCGGTCCTCTGCGAGCTGAGAGGAACGTGGCATTGGGAGTCCGCAGCTGACAGGGTAAGTTGCTTGGGAATTAGGTGGTGGTAGGATTGAAGGGGTGAAATAACGAATATTCAAGTGGGATTTAAGGGTCTTCAGTGCAAATCAGAATGGAAATTCAGTGTGCTGCATCTCCGAATAAGAGATGCCTGAGCTGGCTGCCCAAGCACTGAGTCACAGCCCAGATAATGACCCTAAACCAGTTCCTCCCCGCTGTTGTGAGCTGCCCAGCTGCAAGTGGTGCAAAACTGACGTTTACTTTCCACTGTGAAATTCCTTCACAGAGGAAAAAAAGGAAAAAACAGAGACATAGAAAAAAAAAAACCTCCCAGGTTTGTACAAGCTTTTTTTTCCTTTCTCAAAGTAACAGACAAAGCAGTTTTCAGTCTGTCTTTCAGTAGAGGTTACAAGAAGAACTAAAGAGGATGCTGAACATCACTTTGGTAAGTTTTTTTTATCCTGAATAAACGCAAGTACTTTCAGTAAAGTGATATAAGGTAGCTTCTCTTTCAAGTTCATTATTCTTTCTTTAATTCCTGGCTAATTCTACATTCGCTATCATCGACTCACAGCTGAAAACATTGACCAGAAAAATCAAGATGTCTTTCCAGCACAGCAGCCAGCCCTGTCAGCAAACAGTGGTCCCCCCCCAAGAGGTCTCCTCGCCACCCTTATCCACCCATCCCTCCGAAAGCAGAGGATCACCTCTTCCTTCTCGCACGAGGGCTGAGCAGAGCAGGACAGCCCCAGCCTGCTGCCTTGCCTGTCGTACCCAAGGCGGGGGCAGAGCCCGGCAGTCTGCTGGGACCGAAAGGCAGCAGCAATCGCAAGCGTGGTGGTACTGCAGACCTGGGGGGCAGCTCTGGAGGAATGAGCAGGGGTATGCCCCCCCAAAACCCACTCCTTTTCCTCCCCCATAAAGCTCTAGCTCCAGACGGACAAGCAAATGGCTCTGCAAGACCCTCCCCTCTTATGCTGAGGGGAAACCCCCCACAGTACCAGGAACCAGGCCTGACCTACTACGGCGCAGTTTAGCCTTGGAATCCATCGCTTTGTAACTAAAGCCACTCTGCAAGCAAAAGGGCTCCTCTGACCAAGAAACGTCAGAAAAATCCTTCAGGGGGCAAGTTTCCTTGAAAGCCAGTTCTGTAACGGCCGCTTAGGTGGGGACCTGCCGTACTGGTAAACTGGCCAAGGTGGGGAGAGAGCAAAAGCTTCCCGAATCAACCTGAAAAAACCACCAGGCAGCTCAGCATGAACTGGCAGTTGCTGCAGCGCGTCACGATGACCTCTGCCTTGGCCTGTCACACAGCCCCCTCCTGAAGAAAGCAGCAGCCCATCTGTACAGAGTCAGCTCAGCCACGCTGAGACTTAATTAACTCGACCCAGGCTTCGCATAAGCCCAGACAGAGCAAGAGCTGCCCAAGAACGACTCTCAAACAAGAGCACAATCATTCTCTTGAAGGTACAGCACCGAGCAGCTTACTCCTGAAGTAAACAGCACGCTTGCTTTGTCACAGGTTAAAGAAACTCGTCGCCAGCATGTCACAGCGTTTACCTCTGAAGGCTTTGTTCAATTAAGCCTCATTAGTTCCACCGTCTGCAGCCCGCTCCTGCCGAGGGCCTATGCCGGGAAGGGCAGCTAGATGGCACCAACCGCCGGCTCATGGCTCGGCGCTTCCCCTGGGGTCTCTGGTGACAGGCCGGCTCCCTTCCTCCTCCCCAGGGTTTCATCGGAGGGAACGGAGGGCCACCTCACTGCCCAGACACCTCAGGACCCTGGCAGTGCAGGGATGCACGCAGGTGTACTGTCCCCTGTGCCCCAAAGGGCATTTTTCTCGTATTTCCTCTACAGGGCACAAATATTTGAGATTTAAGTTGCAAGACTCAAACAACAGGATGTTTTCACCG